AACGTGTTGACATTAGTTTACGTGGGTGTTTTGTATGACTGGTCAGTAATTAAATTTAATTATTCATCCATTATTTTATACATGAAGCAAGTTCCCTAGTAATTAAAAAATATTCATGAGATTACTTACGTTGAAGTCTTGTATTAATTTCTACTTGAAATGCTGGATCTTGAAGTCGAAGCAAATAAGCTTGAAATTCATGAAAAAAAAATACGTCGCAGTTGCGAAACTCCTTTTTATTCCAACTATCAGAATTAAACTTACAATATATAGAGAAGACCTTCTTTATTATGTCTGCTTGAATACAATTCTCTATGCCTTAAAGATTATATAATATTTTTACTGCCAGTTACTAAGGCTATTAACATTTTGATGTGTCATACGAGGCGTAATGGACTGTATAAACTCTACGAAGTGTTTATAACGACGATACTTTATAGATAATCTTTATCTGCTCCTTGAAAACAAGCCATACTGAAAGGAAAGGAATTACTTGAGGATTTGTAGCACTATATCTTTCCGGCTAGCACGTTATGTAGTAAACATGATTAGTTTACAGTAAATATTAAAGCTAATAATCCCGGCAGATTATTATTAACTTTAAGGTTACATAGCAATATACATCAAAAATTGAATTTTTAGATTTAAAATCAACCCAAAATCGTGATTAGATTTTGTACGCCAAAGAAAATAAATATTTCTAGAAGCTGAGATTGAATACAGCGCAATTATAAAATTGAGTTATGCATCTTGAATTTTTAAGTCAAAAATATATAATTAATTTTACTTGATATTTTTTATTATATTTATTTTTAAAATTAACTACATTTACCAAAAAAGGATGTCATTTCTAGTAAATGTTAAAGAAGGCTAGGATGAATCTCGTTTCATATAAATTTCTTCCAATGAGAACGGTCTGTTACATTTTAAACTCTGCGACAAGGAAACGTAACTTAAAAGTCTACGAGTAACTACTGACTTAGCCGCTCTTTTACAACACGTTTAACACACGCCAAAGTACCTTAAAGATAGAAATTTTATCAGAATAGACATATCTACAAATTTTTACGACTTAACTCAACTCAAGAGTTCTAGTTTATTTACGAAAGATCTAATTTATGAAAAACATCTGTGCCATTATTCTATCTTACTTGGAGAGACATCTTGAACCTAGATATTCTTTGCATAGATTTTCTGTTAGTAAATATTTTAGCTAATTACTAATAATTAGTCTTAAGATAGGCATATATTATATCTAATTCAGCTATCATTTGCTAGAACTTGAATCATCTCACCTTTATCTAAACGTATTATAAAAATCAATATCAAATAGGTAATAATGTTAACTATCACAAGTAACGTCTACGTAAGGCATTACTTACCGTGTCTTACCTGGCCCTATAAGTGTTAATATTTTCTACATTAACTACTTTTGTACAATTAAACTATCCTAACGGTAAAGTAAAACCGTAACAAGGTTTTAAGCCTTTCAAAACACTTCGCGATAAATTATTTCACCATATTTATAATACTAATTTTCACGAATTGCTGAATCAGCCCTTTAATTTTAAAATTCGCAATCACATATAAAAATTTAGCGCAGTATCCATTCTTAATTTATTACGGCTATAGAGAAGGTAAGTTTCAAGCTTATAAGTTTTTCGTATCGAATTATGAATAAATTGTATCTTTACAATTTAGAACAGAAGCGACTACTGAGACCAGACAAATTTCATTTTGGAATTAATTCTTTTCCCTAAATGCATCTGATTAAGCGTTATAATGATTAAATATTTGCAAAATATTCGATATTTGAAAGTCATGGCTGAATGCAACGACAACACAAATTAATTAAGTACGAATTTTATTATTTTTATCTACCAGTGCAAAATTTATCCTAATAACTGAGCTCACATTTTGAAAAGTACTTTGAAGTCTTTCGCGTAATGTTTACCTTGAATTTCGAAAACTTTCTAAATTTTTGCTAGAATGGGTTACTTGAAATTGGTTGAAAGTTTAATAATGATGGCATAATTTACTAATGAATTTATTATCGTATCTTTACTCTTAGTTGTATCAATTTACTTCCTATCAGCTTGAATTTAACAAAATATCCGATTTACCATGGTAAAACCCTTGGATGTCGATTAAGTTATGGCTTTATGGTTTACTTCATTTGCGTCAATTTTTTAACTATGATTTTTATAGCTGCAACGCGCTATATTGCCGTAACTTATCCACATAGATTTAAAATATGGTTAACTAATAGAAAATGCTCTATAGTAATACTCTGTATATGGACTTTTTCTGTTTTATTATGTGTCATAATTGCAGAATTTATGGTCACTCTTGATTTAATTCCCTGTTATGGGGTCTGTATGTTGACGTACACCCCGACAGGCGTTCCTGGTCATGATGCCGTATATGTTGTAGTTTTAGTTATTTTATTTATCTTTCCAATAGGATTTATGACATTCTTTTATTGGAAAGTATTCATTACTGTTCATAAAAGTAGTCAAAGTATACGTCAAGTACTGCTTCTTGGCATGCGCAATATTTCAAATCATTCGTCTAGAAAAACGAAAAAGCGAGAGTATCAATTAACTGTTACATTTTATATTATGTTTATTACTTATTTAATATCCTATTTGCCTTACTTCCTGGTTCATTTCATGCGCATTTTATGTATAACACCAAGTAACTTCTCTTGGACGTTCGTTACAACTGCGAGTACTATTATTAATAGCGTGATAAATCCATACGTGTTTCTCTTTCGAAGTGGAGCATGTAAGAACTTTTGGAGTAAACCTGTAAGGCGTGGTCGATCGACGAGGATTATACATGTTAGATCAAATACTACGTTGTTAATGACAATGGCGTCACAAAACGTTAATTAGTAAAATCAGCTTAAGATGAAGTTTTTGCTTATATAGTTGAAATAACAATATGGAATGCAATAAAATTAGACTTAATTAAGTCCGCAGTATTTGAGCAAGTGTAAATATTTTCGTTAAATATCATAACAGGAATCAATAAAATTCATTTTGTGGTATACCAGCATAATTATGTAATAAATTTTCAAACTTTTAATTAAATATAGGATTTAGGATGTATTTCAAAGACACATATAACCCTGTCAGTAAACGTCTTTTAGTACTTACGTACAATATACTCCTATTGTGTACACTACTATAGCAATGCATTATTTTTACGTAAATATTATTCTTTGATACTTTAAAAGACTTTTGCTATTATAGGGTTATATACGTATTTCCTTTACGAACGTATTCTAAACAAATTTTTCTAATCTATTTTTACTTCTCAAAGGCTGACGCAAGTGCCAGATTATTGTAGTGAAATACTAAAAATGAAACCACTATTCTATGCTGCAATGTTACAAAAACTGCGGATAGTCCTATCATGGAAAATACTGTTATAATCAGTATGTCCAGTTTAATTCATACTTAATGCCATATCGTGCGTTTGAGTGGTTCTGTTGTCGTGAAGGCAAAATATATGCGAAAGTGTGACCGTATATCAGTTAATAGATACTTGTAAATAATCATTCGTGTATAATATAAAAATTAATATAAAAATTAAAATTTTAATAGGCGCCGATATACCGGTATAATCAATGAGTATTTAATATAAATTAGTTGCGGTATTAGATCACAGAGGAGTATAAAATTATTGTATTGATTGTTGCACGTTGGATAGTTCGTTACTAACGATACATAGTAGCTTTATTCTTCTACTATTTATAAGTAAAAAATGCGAATAATTTGGCTTACGCCTTAAATGATTACAACTTTGTGTTATAATATGTTTAGATTATGGTGTTTGTACATTACTTTAAAGATAAAGTACTACCTATTTTGGAGATATTAGGGCGTGCGCTGCTAATACGCTAAATATATTGTAATATTGATTAACACTATGCAGTAGCTGTAAACTTTCTAATTTAAATATACCGTAATATTGATAGGTCTCAGTAGCTGGAACTCCTTTGCCAGTTTTTTTACGAGCTATATTGCGTAAATTAGATAGTTAAAAGCTGGGTAGATATGGCGTCTTACTTGGAAATAAGATTAATACTATCGCATAATTTTGAGATTTAATTAAATTTAAAATGTAATTAGAAGATGATATCCTTAACAACTTTTATTGACTTACAGTTTCAGGTTATTACAAATATCAATGTAGACCGAGTAAAGTATTGCAGGGAATAAAAATTGTAACGTTTTAAGAAGAATTAAGTGAAGTGTATCTAAATAATACATTTATTAGGTTTGTATTTATAGATTAACTTCTTAGGAACATCTAAATAGAAAAATTTATGATTATTTCGTAGCTATTTAAAATAGCAAGCTTAATCTGTTTCTTTGAAATAATGGAAATAAGTATGGTACGGATTCTTGCCATTGCTGATAACGTAGCTGTGATGGAGTATTTGAATGATATAAAGATTGTTACTTTTATTCTAAGGCTTATATAAAAGACATTGATTATTGAACTTTTGAATTTCCTTATTGAAACTAGTATCATCGAAACCGTATTTTTTATCAATTGAATAGGTATCAGATATCGCTAAATACATGATTATAATTTTGTTGGTATTTTCTATATTGTACGCACTACTTTTTAATTGCATTTGTATTATTAGATTGCGCAATTGATAGAGAGAAAATAGGTAACAGATTATAGATTAATTGATATTAATTATAAAATTGATAGTTAAATGCTGAAGCTATGAACTGTGATAACACTGCTAGATACGTGGTATTTCAACTAATATTTGCTTAAAAATTTCGCATTCAGTGAAATGCTATATATGAAAGGATAATTGCATCATAAATCCTCATTTATTCATCTAAAATTTCACTATGAGCCTGAATGGCTTCGATATGATATGAAAGGGTTCCGATATTAATGGATCTTAATTAAAAAATAAAATATTTCTAAATACATTTTGCAAAATGCAAGGTTGGCATAAATAATTTTCAAGCATCAGCAGATGACTCGACTCCAGGAAAAACTTTAATAACGTAATATACCTGACCTTTAATGTCTTTGCAGATAAATAATGACTGATTTTCATTACCTATTATGCTCGATGGATTGTTAATATTAGGTGAGTAAACTGTATGAAGTAGGTTCATGGTTTCCTTTCCGTAGAAAAGAATTTTACCCTTTATTTTGTCTACCGTAACGAAGAATTTTTTTGGCCATAAACTTTCGACATTGATAAACAAATTTGGTTCGTAATCAAGTTTTAGAACATTGTCCAAATAAGATTTCATTAAAACTTCACCGCAGGAATTAACCATCTATAATGAATATGGATATTTTAAAGTTAGCATTAGGCCTACATTGCATGTAACTAATTATGTCCTAGAGCGTCATTCATACAATTTTTTCTTTTCCTTTTTCAATTAAAAAGTATTCGGCACATTGGTATTTATCAGGAATATATTCAGCCTAAAGAAGAGTTGTTATGAATAGTAGTGAGCTACTAGAACTTTAGTTGTTGCTTTAATCAACAGTAAGCAATGATTGAAGAAATTTACGGTATATTCCTATGATTAGACTTACGAATAAATTGCCGTCAACTGTTCCCCACTCCTCAATAATTGCGTTTTTATCTTCTAGGCCAGAGTGCTTTATACTATTATCAGTCTTATTACTTATCAATTTTGTGACATTATCGCGAACTTTATTCCAAAATCGTGAAAACTGTATTTTAGTGCATTCTTCGTCATTTGGTAGGGTAATTTTACACGTTAATCCATCCCAATGATCGTAATTGTGTTCCATGTATAATTTGGTTTGCATTCTTTCCGTGCCCAATTTGTAATACTGATTTTGATATGAAAGCATTCATTAAAAAGATCAGACATGCATTAAATTGGTTATATTAAATTTTGCGTTAGGTTCAGAATTATATTCTATGCATAGCAAAGAAATGTAATTTAATTTGAGTACTGATGCTCTATTTATTAATTACTATTGACTATAAGTTAATAAATAGTTGATCCAAATTTTACAGAAAATTAAAACAGCATTTACCCTGATACTGGTCATACTAATTTCTGGTGAATATTGATGAATGATTAGGCTATAATCATCGCAGTAGATTACATTTATATTCCTAGATAGACTTGAAGTGCTATCTAAGTAGTATTCAGTATCACCATTTTGGACATTAATCTTCATAACAAGCATTCTCTCATTCTTATCCGAGTGCTAATAATCATGATTAACAAATATCATATCTCAGACTTTAAACTTTCCTATACCCATAATTTTTACATTAATTTGATATTTTTAAAAGTATAAATTGTAAGAACGTGTAATGGCATAAAACTAAATGATCTTCACGATACCTCTGCTTTTAAAATGAAAATTAGTCTATGATCCAATTTTCTGTATCTTGATAGTATAATTGTAAGTTTATTTGTAGTTTCTTCCATAGGAAGAACCATAATTTCTCGAGATTGCTTTAATGCCGTATAACCATGTAGGTACTTAATCTGTTAATAAAATGAACCAGCTGTCAGCATCAATTATTAAAATAATTTCATAATTCCAGTAATAGCGCTTATAAGTAGTTATAACTTAATCATAAGTTTAAAAGCAATTAATATATAACTAATTATTTAAATGATGTTTTAACAGGCCATGGAAGGAAACTTTTACCTCAGTTATAATGATATGATAATGGATTATTACGTGATTGCTTACGCAGCTATCATTATGGCATTTATTGAATCGAAACAGAACTATATATTCATAGTTATTGTACACAAAAATTCTATCGTAAGGCCTATCCAGGCTGTACTCGGACATTCGATCAAGTCTCTCTCCTTGAAAAATCTAAGGATATATCGTTATAAGCAATGTGTATTTAAAGGTTGAAACTTGCAAGCGCACGCAAAAGTTTTATTTATTTAGACCCTAAGCGTTTTAAGATTTTAAGCAAAGTAATTGATGATATAACCATGAAATTAAGCATGCCTGCAGGATGTGTCTATCGTCCTGTTCATTTTGAATCAGATTTGCTACAACAGGTGTTTCATCAACAACGGCCCAATCTGAGTTCTCCAGATCACATCTATCATTCTTTTGTGGGTGCGTTGTCAGTACGAGTGGTACAGATGTAATATGCGACCACACCGACTCAAATGCTAATCGTAAAGTCATGAGGTAAAAATAGTGTTGTTCGACTTGAGATTATTCATTTCAATTAACAGCTTATGAGATCTTGTTATCTTCTTACCTGATAAATTGCAGTCCTGTATTGGGTGTTTGCTTTCTGCGTTGTATACTACTAGATGCTGGCTTGCAGGGATGAACATGAAATCATGAATGTCTTGTAAAGTATCGATAGTGATATAAGAATGCACGTGGCCAGCTTCAATTTTCATTACCTAATCATAAAGTTTGGCGTACAGTTTGATGCTCATTAATAGAGCGAGGTCTATCTTAATTGCAATTTAAATATTAAAAATTTTATTAATTTAAAAACTTATACTGACAATCACATTTCTAGACCAACAAAGCATTCCAATAAATCGATGATCATCCGAAATATCAATGTTTGTAATATCGTTGTCGCACTCAAAAATTGGTTGAAAAGTATTGGCAACATTGTAAGTAAAATCAATGGCTACTCTTTCGTAGACTGAATCAGAAAATAACCCAAGGACATTATCATATGCAGTCACAATTGCAGCACAGTCCTTATCGATGTACTTTACGTATTTTAACCACAAGTCTGTATGATGTCTAGAATTAATAAATTTCCCATCACGGTCTTTTATAATCCATTTAGGAATTTGAAATGATCGATGAAATTTCTCTTGTCCTAGTACTAGTAACTATTTAGACGCAAGATATATGAAATTATTTAATCGACTTTTAAACTTCAAGCAACGTATCATCGATAGAATCTTACTTCAACTCGATATTTTTCTTCATCTAAATCTTGACAAATCATGATTTTGCTATCATTTTTTATAAACTCGCATTGCTTGATTCCATCCGGGCTTGAATATCTTTGCATTTCTTCAATTTGCAGTTTATTTACTTTCCAGATCTATCAAGACAAATGTTGACAATCGATTTACTTCGAATACTGTGTACACTGCGTGAATTTATCTGCATTTCATACATGATGATGTAATTTATTTACAAATTTATCATGATGCAGCCTTCAAAACGATTTATCCTGGATTAGGGTTAATAGAATTCGACTTACAATAAAATTATTACTGTTGGTATCAATGGTCATAAAAAGCGTTTGGTCATTTACAATTATTGGGCAGAAATTAAGGTTCGGCATACAGCATTTAACTTTTTTCATTTTCCCTTCTGGTTGATGCAGTACAAATCGTAATCGTTCTCCACTATCAACGTTGTATACTTTCCATTGGCATTTCTGTCAGATACATTATACATACATAAAATAAATACCAAGGTTAATTAGTAATTTCGTGTATAATGTTATAAAAGAATGCAAAAATTGAAATACAGGAGATAGCGGCTAAAAGTTAAGTTGAATAATCAGATAAATATTATCGACAACTAGCTTTGAAATTTGAATATCGTAATCTATAGCTTCTAGCGAAGTAATCTAATCGATGAACAGGCTTAATTAAAATTGCTTCAAGATTTTTACCCAGTATCCGATCTTGAAAGCAGCAACTTTACCATCAGCCGAAATTTGAACTTCACTGATGAGATCATATGAAGACTGACTTTTAAATATAACATTACCCGTTGCAGCATCGGTCACCTAAAGAGGTTATCATTTTGAAATTATAATTCAATGATGAATTAGAGTGGCTTAACTTGTAGTATATTTCACGTGAGACTTTACTGGAGAAAGATGCACTACATGACTTTAGTCTTAGGTAATTACCAAAATTTGACGATCATCATGTTGATTATTTTTGGTTTGTATAATTCTAGAATTGCCATAACGTGGGTTGGACCATTCAGGCATTACATCTTTTTCAGCTATTTCCAGTTCTCGTGATAAATTTGTAGAGAACTCAGCTTGCTCACATTTTCGATATCTATTCCATAAACAAAGCCATTTACTATTATATAGAGATTATGTAAATTTTTGAGATTCAAATGATAAGATTACCCTGTTATAACCCAGTAGGGTCTTCCATCACGTTGATTACTGTGTTTTGCCAACTCTAAGGCTCGGCTAGCAATCCAGCTGTCTTTTGGAGCACAATAAAGTAAAAACTGAATAAAATTTAATTGACTGATGTCAAAATAGGATAGATATTGATTCAGTAGGTTAAGCAGCTCTTCATGCATTTCTTCATCCTAAAACATCAGTGATGAAAACTTAGCCAGAAGGGTTTAAAATATGGCAATCAAAGAAATATGCAATAGTAAATATAGTGTTATGCATTAATGTACATTTATGTAGCCTAAAATCTGCAATACAGATATAATTAGACAATATCGCTAACGTAGATGGTTGAACACTTTCGCATAGGTTAACCTCACCACGAGTTGCTTCTTGGCAATATAACTGATGGTATTTTGTAGATTAGCTGGAAGATAGCGTTTCGTTTTATATAATGTGAGTTGAGTTGATACCCATTTACTGTTACTCAGGACCGATTCCAATAATTTATTATCTTCTGCTTGTATTACGTGATAAATAAAATGCTGATAATAATAGCCATCGTCGGGGTAGGTATGCCACTTTCCTTGACAATAATGCCCATAACCGGCGATAAGTCTACGATTTAGCGTTCGCATGTAAGACTGCGAAGATTTATTTGGATCCAAAGATAGTTGGAGATAATCGACCATCAAATCATCCAAAATATAGTATCGTCTTAATAGGAAGAATAAAGTATGATATCAGTCGATGTGTATATATATACTATAATCGCCTTCATGGTTAATTATGGAAAATATGTAATAAAGCATAGAAAATTATATAATTATAGACTTCCTAAATATTTTGCTTACCTGTACTTATCAGTATATCTTAATAATGATCTTTCATTAAAATCATTTAGAATTTGTCTTGTAGCTAGTTCATCCAGCTTCCAGAGTGCCATGATTGAGGTAATAGGAATTTTCACTCGCTTGAATACTCCAAGATTTCGAAACAAATCTTGATTAGCATAATCCAATCTGTGGATACTATAATCAAATAACTTATATAGCAAGGAAGTATTGTCTGTTAAATTGTTTTCTCCGTCTTTTCCTGCAAGTATAACCAAAATTTGTTGCCATTCTCTTTTATTTCTTAATTTTAAACCTCCAAGGATTGCAACCGCGAGTGGTAAGCTTTCACATGTACGAATGACTTGATCAATGCAATTTCGGTATTCTTCCAACGTCTTTTTGCTGTAATGTTGAGCTAAAATTTTCATAGCTTCATCTTGTGTGAATGAAATCTATCAAAATAATTTTAAAAGAATGTATTAAGCGACAATACGAATATGAATATGAAATATTTATACTATCTAAGGTGCATACGCATTTACTTATACCCTTAAATTAGATACAATTTGCTTTGAGACTGATTTAAGAATACTGACCGGTGAGGAGATAATGCGGCAACTGGTACTATCGTGAAGTGTTCTCGAAGTAGCTATAAATTTCTTAGCGAATTTTAAATAATTTAAGTGATACTGGTTCCGAATGTCGTCAAAAACGAAAAGGATGTTGGAATGCTTTTTATTGACTAGTTAGAAAAATTTTGTTTTTACAAGCATAATAAAGCCAATCAGTTATAAAATTACAAAATAGAATTTAAAAAATTTGTCATAAGGATTTTAGTAATTTTTCGTGATTTCAAGCAATTTTAAGCAATTTTATACTATTTAGCCTAAGTCAGAGCTAACTATTCTATCATCAAAAATTAAATAGATACGGTACACTTACCGGAAAAGAACTGCTCAAGATATTGAGTTATCTCCTGTAAATTTCGAGGAGATTTATCCCACCGAACTCGTAGCTTAACTGCTAAGTTTCTTAAAATTTCTAAAAGTTCGTTTTCGTTGATATTGCCTACAAAGGATTAATTCATGATCGAATGAATTAAATATAAGCATGGTCTTAAGTAAGTTATGCTCAACGAGTGACAAAAGTGATATACTTCAAAATCAGATTTATGTTAATTAAACTACAGAATACAGTAGTATAATAATCTTTCAACCATAATATTGATTTAACCTATTTTCATATCGTGCAACGTAACAAAATGTTTAGAAGTATTTAGCGACTTATAATTTCGCTGTAGTGGATCATATGATCATCTATTTCGTTCGAAATTTACTGGAGTAAAACTTTTCTATTTTCGTTCTTTATGTATATGACTTGTATAATGGTAAACGTTTATGATATTAAATCAATGTGAATAGGAGTACCGATTTTGATCCAATATACTCCATAGCGACGAAAGCAGTCGTCATCTACAACGATTTGTTGTACAGCCTGACTAACAGCAACAGTTTTACCGCTACCCGGCAGTCCATGAACTAAAATCTGTCCACTGACGTGATCGTTCAAGATCAGCAACTGATTGCGAAGGGTCGTCAAGAAATCTTGTCGAATCACGTAGCGTTTCTTCGAAATTTCAGGAACATTGCGAAGCCAGCCTTTTACGTATTACATAATTAATATACATATGTGTGTTAACGCATATCAATACTGAAACCAAATTTACTTGTATAGTAACGATAAACTAAGGAAAGCTATATATTTGTAGAAACTATTGCTGTTTTAAATATCTTATTAATACAGGAAAGAAAGATACGAGGATACAGTTTCCAGTATTAAATAAATGATTCTACGTACAAATAGATTAAATGTATTACAGTATAGTCTCGTGCAAACATTATATACTAGCTGGAACAGAGATAACGTAGACTATAGCATTGAAATAAAATGAAGAATTTTATATAAAATTTTTAACATTCTTAAATCATGATATTATCAAAATATTTTCAGCAGTGACGTTAAATGATAATAATTTCTAGTAGCTGTGTTGGTCATTCTGCTTAGCAACGATAAACTAGATCGACCTTGAATACAAAGAGAAATATAGGTAATAATTTAGTGGTGCTTACCGTATGCTTGCGGGCTTGGTCGATAACCGCTAATCATCGTAGCTTTTTTCCAAATTTCTGTTTTGGTTGTCATTATCAAATTCAAGACAATATTCAATGAATTAAGAGGTCGATTGTCATTCAATACAATGAAGAGATTAATTTTAATATAACTAGGTAGGTAATAAACGCAAGTAATATCTAATAATCACTATCTAATCGAGAATTATCATGAACCTGTTTTCATAAAAACTAACCTAGTAAATAACGATTCAGTTGGGGATAGATAAAGTTGTTGGCCATTTTACAAATTTCATTGCCGCTTATAACTGTAATATTGAATAATTTTATTAAATAAAAAATTGTTCTTGATACCATAACTAGTAACTAATTTCTCTAATAATTGTAAAGCATAATTATACCAGATAAAAAAATATATAAAGGAGAAACAACGGCTTTAGCTCCTTGGCAAGAAAGGAATTTTTTTAAAATGGATGATTAAGATAGGTCATTACGTGATAAGCGATTAAAGATAATTGAATTTAAGAACTCATGTTTAATAAAAAAACTAGCAGATTATGGTAATAAGTAGTAAAATGTCTTCTCTCGCATGATTGAAAAATTCGGCAATCTTAATGCAATGATTAAAAAGAATTCCTTATGCATCAATCTATTGATTTGAGAACTACATTAACTAATAAGAGCGGTATATCAAAACTAGAAATAATTAATTCAATGGCTTACATGTCGAAATTATTGGACATTGTTGGTTATAAAGCTTATATGAGAAAGATTCTGACAACTCTTTAAAAGTCTCTCTGATGTATGTGGAGTCTTACCGTTGTGGCCACCAGCAAAAATTCTTGCTTCTTGTTCTAATATTTCACCTAAATTATAGCGCATCCATCCTCTCCCTTCAGCATAAGATTTACGAAGTAAATCACAGAATTGGATAAAATATTCGTCATCTCGGCATTTTAGAATTTTTATAAATTCTATATTTCGCTTTCTTTTGGAACGAAATCCACACAACTCTTGAATTTCATCATGAAAAAGGTTCAGCTGATTTAAAGAGTCACAAACTATCAGTTTACGTAAATCAATCCCATCCACAATTTTATCATAGTATTTTCCAATGACGTCGTAAATATGTTGACTTAGCATTCTTCCCTTACTTGAATTAACATACACCCGTAAAAGCGATGTTACAGGCAGAAAAGCTAGGTAATAAACTGTTCTTGAACTTTTCGCTTATGAGTCGGATAGTAGGTGTTGATGGTATGTAATATACATATGTGAGATAGCTTTAGAAAATTTGCTTAAATTTTATCTGACTAGACTATTTGCTAATTCTGATCTTGCAATTGAAAGAAACGAAAAGATAACTGAAAATAAATTGCTTTATAGAAGACGGAACAAGCTGCAAGTGTTATTAAATAGTTTTCATATCTCCTTTACAAGTTCTAGTGCCTTTTGAACATTAAAAGATCGTGATACAGATTTCTTTAACCAATTAGAATAAGTAATGGCCTGAAGTATTTGATGCTGTCCTTGAATCTATCAGCAAGTAATAATTTAAAACAGGTTAGAATAAATTATGTGGTGATCAGATACATGTACTATCAGGTCTCATGGGACCAGTCGTAATTATTCAATAAGCAAACCTTTGTCAGCGATTTACATGCAATGTTGACGAAGTATTCTTTGCCCTTCATTAGATCAAATATGATCATTTATAATTTGACGTTATAAGATGGCTATGATGGTAGCTAAATGCCCACGCCCATCTGAATAACTTACTAATTTCGAAAATAGAAGGATTAGTATGCTAGGAAATAATAAGAAATATTCAGGGCGCATAGATATACGATTTATCCTAACGAAAAGTACCAGTAAATTATAAAATAAGTAAATACTAGCCGCACAATGAAGGATGCATTTTTTTTCTTGAAAAGTAGAGATAGCACAGTGGGTGGCAAGAGTAATAATCCAGGCTGTCTTGAAATTACAATGGATGATCAGTAACATGAATTAGGCTTAATTGTTATGATCCGTATTTTGTAATAATTAATACACAGCAGTCTACTTTAAATCCCATGCATCAGCTTTTTAATCACGTGCAGTTTTGTGGAGACCCGCTGATATTAAATAGGTAGGCATAACTTATTTAACAAAAAAGATGTAGAAAAATAATTGCGGGTTCCTTAAAAAAAATCATTATAATTCATTACAGTTTGGTAATTCGTTATGGCTGATAGCTTTTAGATAAATTTTATCCACTAACATTATTTTAATTCATATTATTATGGAGATTATCAACGAATGATTCAGAGAGTTATATTTTTCGACAAATTGACTAATTAGATTAATCCACAGCTTAACGCTGTAGCATCACACCACACTTAAATGTCATGACTTTTATTCTGACTACCTTTCAAAAGCTAGTTCGATACATAAACGCGATAAATTACGTTTGTCCTTGTGATTATTCTGAAGTATAAATTACAGATAACCTAGGATTATAAATGTCCTAATTAGAGCTACTGCACGAGATACTGCTATTATGTATTTTTGAGTTTCATACTATGCCTAGATAGAATTGAACTAGATTTCGTCCTTTGATGGTAAAATGATAATCGAGCCACTAGCGATTTTCTGAAAAACGTGGAACGAATTCTGAAACTTTGTTTTCATCATGGATAAGTTGGCTACTTTCTGGTAGCATTTTTTGATATTGATTAAGCAAAACTTTTTTTGGAAATATGGCCCTGATTCAATCTCATTTTATTAATCTTGATGTCATAATCAGGATAATGACATAAGGAAAATCCGCATTTCACTGATATAGCAGTGTCATTTTCCAGCGCATATTTCAAATATTTTAATTACTATTGTAAAAAATGTTTGCATGTGGTATTACAGCAATAAGTTCTAGTCGTATTACGGCTATTCAAGTGTTATTATTTATGTATTAAACATGCGATAATAGTTAATCTTGATTTACAGCTTTACGGGAAGATAACTTTAAATAAGGAAAACGCCCTCTTTCTTTTGTCATAAAAGCCAGATGCTAGGGAAGTATCGTGCTCATTACCCTTTGCAGACATTGATAGAGTAAAACTGTATTAACTTAAGTTTTTCTTATATCAACTGATATCCTTAATTAACATCGTCAATGCTTATAATTAACAGACTTTATCCATGACATTGTCTGATAAAAATAAGGAAACTTTTACGTTTAACAAAGCGTGTGACAAAAATCTCATAGTTATACGTCAAGTCGTATTACTTACCGCAGCTCTAACGTAATGGTTTTAATTTTTTGTGAAATTTATGAAGAAGTTTAAAAAATAATCGTATGGAGATAAAAATGACGCGGGATCCCGTGATAGTTTGGATATTACATGTATTATTTCCGACATTTGCTAAAATATCAAACTTTATGAGAGCATTAATAACAATTAGTTCTTTATGTCGGGTTGAATTAACGACGGTAAATTAATAACAAAACGCCCGCTGCTTTACATAATCGCCTGTGGTTTTACGACATAAGCTGTGTTATCAACAGTGGCTTTCTACTGTACTGGAATGCTATCCTACATGTTCTAAATGATACAATTGAACTTGCACATAAAGTAATTGCACGCTTCGAACTGCTTTGGATCAAATCTTTAATATATAGTAGTGATGCTGAGAGGATGAGAAGCTTTACATTAACGAAACTCTAATGGGACTATGACATCGGGAAGAGTATCCAGTTTTATCTTGCTTATCTGATAAATTTTAACATTGATTCTATTCCCGATGTTTCAGAACAATTTCCTAATGCACAGCTATTTTGTACCGCATTTATGCAGTTGGTTAGCGAATGTCGTATATCAAGCAAAGAACGATTTAGTATACGGATCCACTTAACCATTCATAATTCACATTTACAGAACTACCCAAGTGTCTGACGAGATTCATAAAATAGCTCTAAAATTTTCATTTAGCTAATAAAATAAATTAAATCAACTTTAAAATTGTTTGTGGAATTCCATATCTTGAGTGTAATTAGTTGTAAATTAGCAGTAATTTAGAACTTGGTGCATCCTATTTTGACGTATTATTTATATGGCTAGATTGTTCTTGTTATTGTTAATCATGATATTTCAGCTTCATCTTTATACGGTTAAGTTGATATACGAAATATTACTTGTATTCGAATTACGTAAATGATGTGATAAGGTTATAGATATATTTACAAGCCTAATTCGTAGCGTTATTAAAATTGGAATTTGCAGTCTTTTACTACTTTATTTGAATCTCCCACAACATACGTTGTACAGTACTATATACATTTTACGGGCAATATTAAACTTGGCTGATAGATTTACTCAGGACCTTTTGTTTTACTGGCACCTTGACTGTTCAATCTTCGCATTCTTCAGTCGCATGATATTACCTTTGTCGAACTATCCTCCAACTAGCGCAAAGGCTTACAAATTGTTCCCTTCAATGTCTTATTAATAAAGTGTAGCGTTAATTCTGAACGAAATCAATTCTTCATAAATGCCCATAATGAACCACTTGCATGAAAGAAGTGGTCCTACGAATTTCATTATTTTCATTATTGTTATTCTTACAATCTACATGATCATAGTCAGGAAAATTGAACTATCCGTGAATATTGGAATTATCTAATATCCCAGATTCCGATATGTTATTCAGCTTTTGTGTGCAAATAATACTCACACAGTTACAGTATATATAAGTTAGTGAGTTGGAGATCATTTGGCAATATTATTTGTTACTTGCTATTGCATTTCATAACTTAATTTTAATCAAGTTAAAAACTATCATTATTGCAACCAATGTAATCACAAAGTCATGGTACTACAAGAACAACGATGTCTGGTAATATCAGAAGGGCATCTTAATAAGACAAATATTGACGATATATAAGAAATCAAGAATATGTTTAATTTTATTTCATTGTCAGATGCGGCAGAAATATTAAATTCAGTAGTATGTAGTGCTAACCTGTAGTACTATAACTACTCATAAAACGGGAATCATACATATGTGGCTTACTATCGAGAAGCAGCTGTGTAACGATCAACACTTCTACGAGTCGGTAGTTTATGCTTAGGTTTAATCAATTTCCCTCAATATCATGTAGTTGGAAACATTCATAACAAAGATTCATGCTTATGGATATACGTACTTCAGCTCAGGGCAAAACTATATGATCTAGTTTTGATTTATGATATTTTACCATGTAAATTATTCAATAAAATGTAGTCATACTTTGATAGAATTACGCCTATTCCAATTGAGTGCAGTTGCAATTTAATTTGAATATGGATCGCATGACTATGACCTTTTGTTGTATAGCCAATCAATTTATTGCCCTAAATTACAGAATACAGATTAACCGTGATTAGTAACAATCTCAAGTCTAATATTAGTGTCCAAACACGTATAATAAATTACTGGTAGAAAACGTCAAATAATAAAGTTGACAATAATTATTTCTAGCACTGTTGATTAGATTTGTTATACCCGATGTAGAATAATTGAGCAAACCGTTGCTATTTATTTCTGTATAAGTACAGTATAACACTTTATCAATGATAATATGCTGATAATGGTAAAGTACCTAAGAGTAAAGATAAGAACAGTCTAACAAAATACTGTTATCAATTTATAAATTATTCGCTTTGCATCGAAAATGGTACAGTAGAAGGAATGTAAATATAAAGTAAACAAAATCAAGCGATGTTAATTTATCTTTATCTATAGGTATAGCACTTCGTCAATCACAATTTGTCGAAAACGGCAAAGTAGGTGTTAGGATGAAATTTAATTTAGTCTTCTAATTTCGTTACTAATTCAATCCTGATCATCCTCGTTCGAGTAGCTTTAATCCACTATAACATTAGGTATAGCTAGTTTGGATCAAGATTGATCCGCTAGTTTAAAGTTCAACTGATCAAATATACGCTATTTTATCCTCATTCTTGATGGTATTAATGGACTAGACTAATCGATTCAAATAAACATGGCAATATTTCAAGGCGATTCGTTTACCTAGAATCATTCAGTTATGTCAAAAAAAAAACTCATTCCGAAACAGATTCAAGGCAAAATAGCGAAATAACTGTTAATACGTTATTTTGTCCTCATTCTTGATGGTATTCATGGACTAGACTAATCGATTCAGATAAACATGGCAATATTTCAATGCGATTCGTTTACCTAGAATCATTCAGTTATGTCAAATAAACTCAATCCGAATCAGTTTCAAGGCAAAATAGCAAAATATCTGTTAATATGTTATTTTGTCCTCATTCTTGATGGTATTAATGGACTAGACTAATCGATTCAGATAAATATGGCAATATTTCAATGCGATTCGTTTACCGAGAATCATTCAGTTATGTCCAAAAAACTCAATCAGAATCAGTTTCAAGGCAAAATAGCGAAATAACTAAACTACCTCAGTAAGTGCTATGCGATCAGGTCGATGCTAGCTGAAATCTACATCATCGTTGACAATCCTACAGTACTGTAGATTCCTGCTACTCCATTTCAACAGAAAGGGCATAACGCCATCAAGGCCTTTCGCTATCATGTCGTCAAGTTGTTTACATAAGAGTAGGGTACTGTATCATACATACATCATAATTGTATAAATTACACTGTCAGAAGGAATCGCCATTGGGTTAAACTGGAAGACCAGGAATTTTTATTTACAAGAGGGATCGGTGCGTCCAATACTGTACCGCTAACCATTACGTCATACCCTTAAGTAAATAATGAACGTAATGTTCACTTACTGTACTGTACTGTATAGACTCGCAGGACAGTACTGAACTGCGAGGCTATAGGCCCGGCCATCAAGTCTAATCTACTTCAAATCGAATCTATTTTTAGGCGAGTAAGACTGTAGACGTGGATCGGTTGGATACGGTACTGTCCTGGATTTTAGAGTCTGGAGTTTACAGTACAGTTCACTGTAAGCGAACGACTTTGTACTGTATGCGGATTGGCTCTGTATGGAATTTTTAGAGTACAATGTGCTGTGGCTCACTCGCAGACGGTACGGTTGATTGAGGAACGTGACGCGACTGGGCAAAAGGAAACAACGACGTCATGAGTTTAAATCGATGTTATAAAAGGCCTCGATCAATTTCACATAAATCATCGCAAGCGTTCTCCACCTTGAAAACGACAGTCAAACTATTGAAAACATTTTCCTCCTATTTGAACAAGGTGAGTAGAATATGAATTGGTTTGATTCCATGATTACCAAAGTAGTAGTTTGTTGATAGATTGTACTGCGTAACCTGCTCGATGATTGGAAATACTGCCATCGTTTTGGTCGTTTGCATCATCTTGCCTTTGATGTTGATGTTGTTGATCTCATTCGCGGCTAGGAGAGCTTTAAAAATACATTGAAATAATTCATTAGTCTAGCTAAGCGAATGATGTTGTTTTCAATTATCTCTCCGATGGGCTATCTCTACAGAACAGTAGTCGATTGATAACATAAAAAATGATCAAAATACTGTCATACTGCATATAAATATATAAATGAGTGAAGTTGTCCTGATCAAACCAAATCAATGGCTTCGCCAATTGAAATGTGGTTTTTAATTACTTTAGCTATTAAATGTCGTCATCGTACTGTTCTGTTGTTCAACTGGATAAATATTGTGTAATGAATCAATTATTCTTTTAACTGTACTTTTGCCTGACCTGGAATTGGAGGTTAGATAAACAATTTATCTCTTCAATAATTATGATGGTCAATGATGTTAACTTCCATGATACTGTAGCAAAGGTTGTGATGGCAATTGATTCAGTATATTGTCGATTGTCCTAAAATAGAAAATAAAGTCGTTGTTAATATAGAGCAAGTACAGTGACTTAGAAATGAAAGCAATGTAATTTGGAAACAGGATGCCTTGGTTTGCTTTTATTAAGCATCCTTAAGATAGGAATTGAGAGATAATCGTAGGATGACGGTACAAGTCATCACGGCAGTTGGCAGATTGCTGCTTAAAATTGATCGTTCAAATGATCAACCAGTCATGATGACAGCTAGCCTAGAGTGACTAAATTACTTGCTAATGTAGTAATTTATTAATTTTTGCATAAGCAGAGAAGAAAGGAATGAGAAATTGGATGCTACTGTAAATTACCGTAGATTGTAGTCCAATCTTCGCGTTTCACTGATGCAGGCTTAATTTAAAAAATAATCTATACTTTCATAGTCGCAAATCGATTCAAACATGCAAAACGGTCATAAAACAAGTAACCGGTGCTTGGTATTACGCGAATTTGGTAATATCAATAAACACCAAATTCAAGAAAATCCCATCCCAGAACCTGGCGAAGGTCAAATTCGCGTTAAAGTTGAAGCATGGTAAGCTAGTATACTGTACAGTGCTAGCCTTCCTAAGTAATCGAATTGAAAAGTAGATTTAATTGTCCAAGTGTAACTATCGAAGAGGCAAATTTCTAACATTGCTGTTTTGGTACCATTTTATCACAGTGGAGTTAATTTTCCTGACATGATGGCTATTCAAGGTCTCTACTGTACTAATCCTCCTCCTCCATGTGTTCTTGGCTATGAAGTTTCTGGTTACGTAGATTCGTTTGGTGAAGGGGTCGATGGCGTGGTAAGTGATTTGATATGCGCCCATTGGCGGCAATTTAGTTTACATCATGCAGTATAGAATTCATTAACTATTCATAAGCAGAAAATGAGCAGTCTTTCATATTGTGGCATTGATACATAATTGTTAAGATAACTCTTATTTGCAAGCTTACATTAGCAGTTCAGTTTTCTTTGGATTTCCTTCTATGGCAGAGCGTAATGTGTAGAGATAAAATATCCTTCTGTGATATTTAGGTTGGAGCCAGGGTTATTGCCCTCTGTCCTCGGGGTGGTTGGAGTGAATACGTTGTTGCAGATAAAGACTTTGTATGGCTAATGCCTGAAAAAATGACTTTTGAAGATGCAGCCGCCATACCAGTTAGCTATTTGATGGCCTATTTGGCGTTATTTAAATCTGGAAATTTGCAATCAGGGCAAACCGTTTTATGCCACATAGCAGCCGGTGGTATTGTAAGTTTCGTAAATTAGCTTATTCATTGATAAGAGGCGCAACCAGTTCTTATTTTTACGTAAGAAATTGTAATTTCCTACATTAAATACGTTTGGTATTGCAATTAGGGTTCTGCTGTTGGCCAGTTATGCAAAACTGTCCCTAAGGTAACATTATATGGCACATGCTCTGAAGAAAAGGTATGTGATTTATGTACGGCTAAAATGATAATAGTATAGTAGCGTGCAAAACCGTTTACTCAATTGTTTTTGATGTGTCACTATAAAGTTGAACAATTCTATTTGTATTTGTGCTTGCCATCAAATAGAACGAATCTGCGCTCAAGAATGGATATTCACAGTTGATTGATTACAGAAACAAAGATTATGTTAAAGAAATAAAACAGTGCGTTGTTATGTCAATAAATAAACTTTATTAGAAACCAAATATATAATTGTAAATAACTTATAAATTCATAGATATCAGTTAGTTTATGACCTTTTAGTGAATATTCTATTCCTCTTTATATCATTTATTCAAAAATCTAGAATGGAACCAGATGGGGTTGATTTAGTTTTGGATCCTTTGGGCGCCGGTGATAATAAAAAAAATTATGAAGTGGTAAGACCTTTTGGCAGGCAGATTTTATACGGTAAGTATTCAGTGTTTATCGTACCCAGCAAATATTACCTGAATCATGCATACATCAATTCACGATTGCCTTTATGTAAAGTACCTATAAACTGTGCTATAGACTTCTAATACTGACTAATAGGTAACGGTATATCCAAATGTAAGTTTCTGAATATCTTCAATCTAATATCATAGGCTGCACAACTGCTATCAACGGTGAGAAACGTAGCTTAATCCATCTAGCTAAAACGGTACGTACATCGACTTAACAAAGTCGAAATGTTAACCTACATGCAGGAAATAAATCACAGAAATTATGTATTTCAATGGAACATCTTCAAATACAGTAATTGATTTCCGTACAGTATTAAACATTCAAATCTTATCAATTAAGATTTTAATTGATTTCTGAAACGTTTCTAAAAATCATTAATGCAGTTTTGGAACTCGTCATCTAAAAATCCAATGGACTTGATGTGCGATAGTAAGATGATAGGGGGAGTCAATCTTCAATCCGTATTTGATGGTCACTATAAAGGCTCTCTTTCAGTTGCTATGAACGACATTCTTCGATGGTATAAGGAAGGAATAATTAAGCCTAAGATCGATTCTGTTCATGATTTTGAAAATGTAAGACAATTTGCAAAGTAAAATAAATTGATCACATTTTTAACGCACTATTAGTATGTAAAATCATTTAAAAAAGAATTTATAAAGCTATCAATAGAGCCGTAATTTATTGCAGTAAAATTGATACAAGTTGTTTTTTCGCCAGTTTGCTGAAGCTTTCCGTCGCATATATGAACGAAAAAATATTGGTAAAGTTGTACTGAAACCGAGCAAATCACCAACTACTGTCTAAATTTATTTTCTTTTGTGAAGAATTCACCTTGATGTCATTCCTAAGGGCGATCGTTTAATTGGCGTTTTGCTCTTTATTTTCTGACGTTTGATTTTATTACCTTTGCGTTGCTTTCAGTAGAGTATGGGTGGCTATCTAGGTGCTGTATTTCTACATTACCTTTGTGTGACTTTCATTAGAGTATGGGTGATTACGTAGTTGCAGTATATCCTCAAAACCTTTATTAACTTCAGATTCATTTTCTACCGACACTTATTACTATTTATCAACTACTGAATAACCCAGGTTTATGCCTTAATATCTTTTTATAACTCTGTTTAATTTAAAAATCTTAATCTTGTGTGCTGTCTCAACAATAACGATAGCAAATAGTACGTAATCATGCTATCAGCTATACTTTGATATATTAATATCTAACCTGATACTCTCGTCCACTTAATCATCTGTAGTAATCATTACATGAAGTTGTATAATTTACTCAGTAGCTATAAAAGCATGATTTATAATATATTGCTTTACTAGTTCTTATATAAAGCGGCTTACACTACTGATACATTTTTCAATTTATCTAATTTTCACGAATAAAATTTATTCCTTCTACCCAATTATTTTGACATTGCTTTAAAAACCTGATTGCAGAAAATTTTTCATGCTAACTTCATGGTATCAAATTAAGTTCCTGACAAAGACTACAATGGAAATATCGCAGTCAAATTTCAAGAATGGCCGGATAGATATTACTAGACCATTGGATGAAGCAAATTCAGTATTAAACACTAAGACAATTCCGTATGCGATTTTGTACTTTAATAGGTTCCAGCTAGCTTATGGGAATTGTTATAGTCAAAATCGAAATCAACAAACATCATACAGTTGTACACACTTTCGTTATATCGTCCATGTACAGTTTTATGCAATCACCGCATAAAATAGTTCTATAAAAAATTACAATAGCACATTTTTAAAATCACTATATAAAAGTACTTAACATTGCCGTATAATTTCATGAAGAAAAACAGCTACTCATTTCAGGAAAGATCGACTTGAAATGATATATGAACAACTTTAACAAAGTAGGAGGTCAATTAATTTTGGATTGTATCTCAACGGCTTAAGTTATATCATTGCAGTTCTAAAATATTATCCCTGATTAGAAATTAGCCCATTTAGTAATAACTAAATATATATTGCTTCATGTAGCATACGCCAAAACCTGTAATTCCTTTTTGTTTATACAATCAATCACTGTCATGATGTAAAATAGCGAGTATCTGCCTTGAATCATTCATGGAAATTAGTAAAATTAATAAAGTTTCTCGTACGTTTAGAATTGGGGAAGCCATAAATAAATTTTAGTTTGAAAATTAATTCGTTATAATTAATTTATTATAATAATAGAGATCTCGAAGAAGACTTGTCTGACGATAGCAATTTTCAAATTAAGAATGCTAAACTTGAAATTTTACAAGAAATACTGCGGTATTTAGTACGGTAATAAATATGAAAACTCGGTATCGTAATTAAAAAGGAAAAATTTAGATCATACTAGAACCAATTCCAAGCGTGTCATTCTTAGAAATCGATATCTTTTTATCACCAAAACAGATCAACATCGCATTTAAATTTCCAAATAAATTTTAAAGCCGCTACAGGCATTACTATATACAGATTTTGGATTGTATTAACTTAATGGAATACATGATTTCAGGTCTGTAAGTAAGTCCATATAAAACTTTTTAAAATACAATATACGTATATCAGCAAGGTAAATTATAAATTCTCTTCAATCGTTCGTCTTGCTCTTTTGCAATATGTGTCAATATGTTTCATTTAGACATCAATTGTTATGTTTAAATATATTTTTGTATGTTTTAATTATATTGTAGTTAATTATGTTGAATCAATCGTGATTGAAAAGTAGCCAAAAGAGTAGCTATTATTGAATTCCATTCTTTATTACAATAATTGGTAAATCCAAGATCATTGCAATAATACTGGACCAATAGAACTGAAATCATTATCTTTTACAACCAAGATTATAATGGTCGTTTAGCTTGATTACTTTATAACATTCTTGAAATACACGTATCAGTAAATAATAAATATTAACTGTATTTATAGATAGGATTCAATTAAATGAAGATTGAATTGATAAACTAAATCATTTGTCTCTTGCATTTTCTAGTAAATTCTTTAATTTCGATCCATAAAAAATTATGATAACGTATTAGGATCTGAAAAATGATGCTATTTCGTAATTCTAGTCGAGTTAATCTTAAATAATTGTGATGAACTATTCTTTAAGATAATGTGTTATATAACATATGCAGATACCTAGTTATCTATGATAGTTATCGGTACCGTAATAAGTGATTCT